CATCTAACTTTTAGATAATTTAGGGGTCACTTTGGTCAAGGTCAGTAGTGCTTGAAATAGACATTTTAACTGACATTTGTTGACAGTTGTCAGCCATAACCATCTTACTTAGGGTGGAGGTAGAGGTCACTTAGATAAAGGTCAAGGCCATTAGTGCTTAGATAAGATTTTTACACCTTTGCATGCAGGTTTGAGGAGCATCCATTGCCTATGCAACATGCCAATATTTGAGCTGCAGCAGAACATACTTTAATCATATAAAGCAAAATACAGGCTTTTTGATCTTGTATACGATAACCTTTCAGAAAATACAAATACAATCATGTACCAAGAAATATAAAGAATAATATTATATACTTTACTTGTTACAATATAGGTAAGAATATTTTATTAAAATCATGTTTTAATTTGAAATGTACAGTAGGAGAAAAATTTCTTAAACATGTATTTTTCATTCTAAATCGAAATAATTGGCATTATAGAATGTTAATCAAGCATGACAAAATTGATTTTTCACACAATTTCTTAAGAACAATGAATACTTAATTTCTTTGCCAATTCCTCTTGAAAGTTGTTAAGAATTTTTCATCACTAACAAGCTTTGGCCAGAATTCAAATTGTCTACCTTAATTTGGCCAGTTTTATAAGACAGTTTATATATCATCAATATTTTCTTTTGAAGAACAATTAAAACAAAATTTATCTTTTCTGAGTGGGAATCAACATTAATAACAATTCTTGAATAGTTGAAATAGACATATAATGATAATCAAATTATTGAGATTTCGTCTTCAGATCTTTCCAGTAACGTTATTATAATGATTTAAGTTTTAGGAAAAATTTGATTATTTTTTTTTCTCCTATGTTTCTTTTTGGACTCTGAGGAAATGAACTTGTTGGAAAGTGTTATTCATTAAAGCACTAGACTAGCTAATGTAAGGGTGTAATGATCTGTGATAGTTGATCAATATGAGACAGAACATGCTTTGGAGGTTAAATTACTCAACAATCAATAATGATAGAATCATCTCTCACACCAAAACTTGTTCTTTCTGTGTCTCCTTGATGCCTTAGTGAAACAAAGCGGAAAAATAACACTGACATGGATAGTGTTTTGCTTGTCTAGGTTTCGGTAATCTAGTGGAAAATGACAGCCTAAACTTCTTAATTAGTAAGTTTTCTTGTGTCTACCTGAGTGTGATACTGTAAAAGTAGGGATAACCAATTATAGTGTGTTAAGAACATAATGGGTTTTGCTATTTTTTTTTGCTATAAAAGTTTTTTTTTATAAAGTTATTTTAAACTAATTTTTTCCTTATAGTAGTGTGATATTTCTAAATGGAAACGTGATTTGTCTATTTAATTGTCGTTGTGGAGACTTTAGACAAGTTTTAAGGGATTTTTTATATACATGTATAATGATTTTGTTATTTGTAATCTTAACAATTGTAAAGCAGGCACTTCTATCAAGTAACATGTGACAATAAGTGTATATTCTGTAAAAATGAATACTGCCCTGTTTAAAAAATTTTTTTTTAGATGGTAAGAATTGAATTAGATAATTTGAATAGCACTATAAAAGAAACCACTGTTTACAACTGTTACTGATTTTGTTATAAAAGTATAAGGCTCATGGTACCCTAATTGGTGCTAACAACACTACAGTAAAGACTGTTTACAGTGACCTTCGATGGGAGAAAAGAAAAAAGGTCATTATAGACAGGGAGTCACTGTGGACAGTCTCTACATAATTCGGATATATGAACATATCATACCAATATTTTGTTGAAAAGCAGGATAGTACCATACTAAGGGTTTAATTATATTTTTATTGATATTAAACATATCAAATATCATTTATAAGAAAAACAAGAGAGTATTAAATTGCATGTATAATTGGTTAAGATTATTAAACTACATCATTATAACATTAGTATTTAAAAGTTACATATTCATTAAAATGTAATTTATATTGATAAATCTGTTTGTAAAAAAAAATGTTTATTTCAATTTTACTAATGAGATGTTACTGTAGAGACATTTAATTTTGTATAATCAGCCTGTTTACTTTACGGAGTTCAATGTATTCTTAAATCATTAGATACAAATCTCCACATAATTTCTGCAGATAAGTGCTCCGAAAAGAATTAACAATCAAGGTTTCAAACATAACCACACCTTTAAGACGTTTGGCATTGTTTATCTTTACTCGCCAAAACACCGCAGCAATTATGTATATGTAGGTGTCTTTAATCATTTTATCGGCGAAAATTGATTGAATCTGTCGCCATTTTGTGTTATTGTCAACAAACAGCCACAGTGTATTAGCGTGTCGCCGATTGGTCAATGCAAACTGCCGTAGATACAACATGTACAACGCGCGTTCTGATTCGTCAATCGCTTGAATACGTAATGAGAAAGATATACATAGTGAACTCTTGCCTTGCGGCGTGTTTTGAAGTTTGTTGATGTTGACACGCGTTCTTAATTAGCGGATTAACGGTAATTGGTTGTAATTGAGAGATAAACAAATTATTAACAGACCTAGCGGCGTAAATAAGTATGACGGGAAATTGTAAAAATCTGGCGACTTCAAAATCTCTTTGAAGCAAAGTCGCTGATCCGAAGGCGACTTCTTCGCCAAAGTCGTCACCTAGTTCAAGCCTTGCTCCCTTTGCAAAAGTCGCTTTGCACGGCTCATATACCGTAACGGGTAACTAAATCATGGTCGTTGTACGGACTAGACAGGGAGTCGCTACATACAGACCATTTATATAGTAAATACTGTTCGGCGCACCTAACTATGGTCACTAAAGACAGAACGTCGCTATATACAGGGGGTCGCTAAGACAGTCTTTACTGTATGTTAGTCAAACAAACTACAGAACTTACCAACATTTTCATTATAATTAGAGTTTTGATTAGAATAACCTAATTAAACATTTTGTTATGACCATGTAGTTGATATCTGATACCTTTGAAAAATTTTGTCAAGGGGTTCATACGGAGCTGTGTCAGGAATGTTTGTTTTTTTTAAGTTATGCAGAAGAAAAACATTTAGTGGTATTCAACTTTCAAGCTCCAGTTGCTTTGATCAAACTCAATTACAAAGGAATTTGTCTCCAAGATAACAGTTCCTCAATCATCTAGCATCCTGGTGTCTCGAAAATGTGTACACTTTAATTGTTGTTGTACTCCAAAACAAATGTTAGAAAAATGTCTGCTGGTTTTAAGTGAGTACTTGATTATTTTATGGATTTAATTTTCTTAAGGAATTAATTCCAAAATGGATCTGTTTGATTTTCATTAGTAAACTGACAAGCTGTTGTTAATTAGAAATAATTATACTTCCTGTGCTAAAAGGATAGAGAAAATACAAATATGTAGTGTATGTATAAGTGAATGAGGAATGAAAAAAAAGGTTTATAAATGATGCAATTATGTTAATGGATTTATAATATATGTAGATGTGTAAGAGTAAGTCGCTTTGTGACACAATATTTTTTGTGATATATTAACTTCAGTTTTTTTTGTGTATTTTATTATTACGAAAAACATCTCTTGTACTAGCTTTAATACATGTATAGTTTGTTAAAATCTCAGAATGTAATAATATTATTGACCACAGGAACATGAGTGGCATTTGTAGATATATATCTGGAGCATCTTGTGGTTAAGTCATTGGCTTCAATCAACTTGCCCCTCACCGCTGTAGGTTCGAATCCTGACAGGGACTTCAGATTTTTTTATGTGTGGAAGCTATCCAGCTAGCTTATGAAGCATTGGTGGTTCTAGCCTGTGCCTGTTGTGCCTGAAATGCATGGAAGGGCACCTGATGTCTTCCTCCACCAGTAAAGCTGGAAAATCGCCATTTGACATACACTGTATTGGTGCGACAAAAAACTCCTTAAAACATTTGCATGGGGGCGTCAATTGCCTGAGTGGTTAAGGTCATATATTTCTAAGGAACTTTGAATTTGAGGAAGCTTAATTCAGCTAGCATACAGAATGGTAATCCTTCCACTCAGCTGCCCGGCTTGTGAGTTTAAAGGTATGTAGGCTGACTCGGTTTTCATTTTGTGTATATTGCTATGGTGCATTGGCCATTGTAGGCTAACTAACATTCTTTAAGAGTCAATTGTAAGTAATTGTAATGAGTAAACTTACCTGAAAGGTTAGCTAAAGGACTCTGACCATAAACCCAGTGTTAAAAGTGCATGAAAATCTTCATAAACAAAGTTGTTTGTATTCTTCTTGCGTGTATATAATATTATTATCTCAGTTGAGGAAGGGTTTTGGCTTGTTTTCAAGGTATTTAGTTTTTCTCTTAAAATTGGCAGTTACTTCTGTCAGACATAATTGACAACTACTTTCGCTGATCAAGCTCAAATTTGAAATGTGATAAAAACTAATTTCTTTGTTTTACTTTTTCTAGACAAATTGTGATTGACTTGAAAAATATTCAAGTATAATTATCTTGTCTATGAAATTTACAGCATGTTTAACATGAAAATTGTGTTGAAATATTGTCTCACTGTTATAATGATGTAGAAGCTTCTAACTCGTATTTGTAGTGCTTAGTGCTTCCGGTGCATTTATCAATCTGTCCTTGAAATTCTTTCTCTTCTCTTTCCTTCACACTTGCTGATATTTTTCATGGCATTTGGTAATGTTTTGGTTCTTTTCATGGACTATTGGGTTTGGTTTCAGGTTAAATTTGTTAAGGTCAAGGTAGGTTGATTTGGTCAAGGTCAAGGTAGGTTGATTTGGTCAAGGTCAAGGTAGGTTGATTTGGTCAAGGTCAAGGTAGGTTGATTTGGTCAAGGTAGATTGATTTGGTCAAGGAAGGTTAACTTGGTCAAAGGTCATTAAGGTTGATAATAGATTAAGAATGGAAGTTGTACTAGTTTTATAGCTTATAAATTGAAATTAATTTTTTTGTCATAGGAACAAGATATTCTTTATTATGATTCAATAAATGTACATGTTGTTATTTTCAGTTGATATTTTCGGCCGAGTACACTAAAGCAATGGATCAGAATTATCACAAGGATCATTTGGCCTGCAAGAACTGTGACAAGAAGCTGATTGCTTGTCGTTATATCCTGAAGGAAGAGCATCCACACTGTATACCTTGCTACCAGGAACTTTTCGCACACAATTGTGAAGAATGCAAGAAACCGATTGGCCCAGATTACAAGGTATGAAAATCAATGTATAGAACAATATAAGAGGTTATTAGATCAAAAAATAATCTGTCATTTCCCTGTTTTGTTTATAATACAAATTAAGCAAACAGGTAGCGGAGATAGCTTATGTCATTATAGTTTTCTTCATGTTGTCTAGTGTATGAACACTGTATTTCCTTGTATTCCCTTTTGACCCATGTTTAACATCAGGCACACTGTGTGTGTTTTGTACACTCAAATTTAGACTTTCAGTTTGTGGAATACGAAGATTTAACTTTGGAAAAGTTTTGGAGCTGTAAATTTAAAACCACATATTAATATTTCAAATCATTTGTAGAATTCTGGACTTAATTGGTGTAGCTTTGCACTCCAGTGATTATTATTGATAATGGAAAGCTGCATGGTAATCTGCAAAAGGTTACAGGAGGAGAATGTTTTATGTCCCAGAGAGGTCATATCACCAAAGTACTGATTGATCAGCCTGTAAACTTATGACATTGTTCCAATCTTGTTCCACCACATAAAACATGGAATAAAACAAGAGACATTATCTGATACTGATTTCCAACAATGCTTTCACTTTTCTGATAAAGGTTCAAAGAAATACGTGCACATCTGAACATAACATTCAAATGTTTTTGTAGTCATCAATTGTCTGAGATGTTTTTTTACTTTCTCTTGTGAGATTTGCTGACTGATTACAAGATTGACAACTGCAAAGCAGTCTGTTAGTTCTTGTTTATAGGCCAACTGCTGGGACATAGAGTGAACATTTGCTGGAAAGCTCTAGATAAATCTGCATGATTATCTGTTGGTGGTTGCTTACCAGTGGCTTCTGGTTTCCCTGAATATGCAAGCTTGATGCTGAGATAACTTTTACAGGGATTATTCAAAAATCTTTTGTCATTTTGTTAAAGATTTTACACTTGTATTATTATCACTAGCTAGAATGTACAGTAGATGCAGAATGTACAGTAGATAAATGAGTCTACGAGACTTCCTGTTTTTACAAGAAAGGTGCAAGTTGAAATAAGGAAGTAGCTGGTGCTGAATGTACATGTAATGGCAAGACATACTCACAGTACTTATTGAATAGTATAATCTTGGAAGACATGGTACAGTGATGCCGTTATGGAGTATGTTTACGATGATGGTGAATGCTCAAATAAATGTCCAGTGACAGTTACATGTTTAATTCATGCTGCCAAATAAATGTCAACAAAACATATTTCTTCCATGAAAACATTTCTATATTCCTTAGGAATAAAATCAAGTCAAAGAACTTAAAAGACCTTTAGATTTGGTCATCATTTATATTCATTGGACAGTATGTCTGCAACTGTCTTATTGGGCATATAAAGCAGGTATTATTTTTAGCTAGAAATCTGTCAAGCAATTAACGAGCAATAATGACCACTTTGCCTTAGATATTAGATGTTATAGTCATAGAAACTTGAGATTGTAATTATAGAATTTTAGATCATCATTATAAATTACTGTGGTGGTGTTGATAGTTTTCACTCCAGATGCTGGCAGTAAGCCACATTGAATTTACTAGAGCATAGTTCAGCCATCACATCATGATTACTGCTTTAATGTCCAAGTTTTGTACATAATTTATATAAGCCTGATTGTGAAGTTAGCTTGTAGGATAAACCTGTAAGTACACAGTAATATGAGATAACATGGTCATGATCCTAGCAGGGCTCAAACCCAGGACCCCTAGGTTAATGAGTGGCAGACACCTTTATTAATAGGTCACTGCTCCGTGGATTGTATAATTATACCCTGAGGAAATATTTTAATTTATAAACTCATATTATTGATATAATATAATGATTGAGCAGTCAATATTCCTGCCAGATAATATTTACCAGACTGGTACCCTAGTGGTTTATCTGTTAATTAATAACTACCAGACTGATAAACAGTTAGGAAAGTACTCATCATATGTAACGAAACTCTCTCTCATTAAACATAATGATTATCCTGCAAGTTCTGGGAGAAGAAACAACAATGTTATTCATAGACTGTTGTTCTCCCAAATAACACCAGACACGTTGTTAGACTGGTACAGAAATAAAAGTTTCATGAAATAATGCCTTGTCATATGATAATGATTCCATGGTCAGACTTCCACTTTAAATATATGGTTATGGTAATCTGGTTATATTTAACCATGGCTTTTCAAATAATTTAGCAGTAAAACATTTATTATGTACATGATGCTACTCTTACTGTAACTTCTTCTCTATTTTCTGGGATGGATAGACAATAATTTAGCTACAAGGTTAATGTTTTAGTATTTTGCTTGCTCTTATTTGAATGCTGAAATATTAAGCTTATAAGTAAAGAAATAGTCAGATAAGGTTCTAAGTAAGCAGAAATCACAAAGCTGAAAATTGTATGAAAAAAGGTGAAACAGTATAAGGCATGGAATTGTAATTAAAAAACAAATTAACTTTCTAGAATCCATGGAATTAGAATCAGTGCTTAAATATAAAAAGCTTATGAATGTGGTTTACGTGTCAGACTTGAGTAATCTAAGGATTGCTGGCCACATGGGTTCAAACCCTGTCAGGGGCAAGCCGTTGTTTTCATGGGCAAGAAACTACACTCATTGCTTAATACTGGCTGATTCCAGGAATGGATTCGAGAGTGTTTCAATAAGCTTATATTGCTTTCAACACAATCATACTAAGATAAAATAGTATGAACTTAAAAGCAAAATACACAAATTGAAAAAAAGAGATAGTTTTCAAGCTTTTTTTTTAAAGCAGTTATTTTCGGAACAATTAATTGCAGAGATAGTTTTCAAGCTTTTTTTTTAAAGCAGTTATTTTCGGAACAATTAATTGCACATAATTATGTATATTTAATTTCGAAGTCGGCTGCACATTATCAACAATGAAACTTAAATGAACAAAGATAGGCTCAAACTGATGTAAGATTTCTATAACATTCTTTTAATTAAATCATGGATACCGATAGTCCAGTAATATTTATAATTGTAAAGTTATGTAAACCCTATAATACCTATACCTAACTGTTAGATAATTAATCACCAAAGAAGCAAATAAAATTCAAATAAAAATGTTCTTGTTACAAAATAATATATTAAAAAAAAAATCACAAAAAAACTAATATAAGTTGCTAAGTGTATCAGTAGAAACTAGAGGGAGCCACTGTGATGATTCAGATAGTTGGAAGATAAAGCTTTATATCACTTAAGATCCCTGCAGACTTTACTGCTTCTAGAGTGAGGCATTAACATAATGTTGCAAAAACATGCAAAATGTAAAATTTCACAGGAATTCGTTTGAGAAGGATGAACAATATAAAAATGATTGATTTACATCACCACAGGTATGAAGTTGGCAACTACAGAATTTGCAGTTGGCAACACAAGGGGAATCTTAAAATTTTCGAAACATTAATTTTGTATTCAGTGCTTTTTACTACACTAATATGCTGCATTTTGGTAATTTGGCATTTAATAGCCATGAAATATTTCTGACAAGTATAATGTCTTTGAATGCCTGATTTACTCTCAGTATTGTTGTGTTGCCTAGTATAACAGAAACATTATGCACGAGATTCTCATTCAGTCTGTAAAATGGTGTAAACTCAGCAAATGTTATTGTATTTCCATTCCCATAGAAATAGATTATAGTACAATTTTATTAAAATGATCATCTAACACTCAATCTGTGATGAATAGAATGTATAACAACAATTAAGACCCATGGGTATTGGTCTGTTTTAGTATGCCACAAGCAAAGCCAAGGTTACAGGCTGCCAAACATTTCACATTTTGAACAGATAGATCACTTTGTTACTATTTCTGTAACCTGTCAGATGCACAAAGCTATAAAAAACGATGACCAATTTTGGTGTTGACTTGAAAACTTTGCTGAGGAAACATTTCAAACTAGCTTAGTCAGGAAGAATAGTTCATTTTCAAATGTCTGCCAAAACATTCAAACATGTGTTTTATAGGTAACTACCTTGGATGTGATCCTAATTTATTTCACAATTCCCGACTTTATCAAGATTTCCAAGAATTTACAATATTCTTCCTCATTCTTGCTCTGTTGGTGATTACATAGTAACATGTTTGCTATGACTTACATAACATAATAAATACTAAAAGCTTTTGTTCAAAGTTTTAATAATTTATATTGTTTAAAGTTGTAATGACTTTCAAAAATGTCCTTATGATTTCATGAAGATGCAGAAAAGTTACAGCCTATGGATGCTACTAAAGGGATGGACTTTACAAATTAGTTTTACTAAAATAATAATTTATGACAATAGTAAAATAAATTTATTTTTGATTTGATTATTATTTTTTTAAACTTATATGAACCTGCATAATGCTTCCTTGAGCAGAGCAGAAATGATGGAGAAGATAGTTCATGGTGACCTACCGTAAGTAGGGCTTGAACCCATTGTTTCCATTTTGTGGACCAGACACCTAAACCACTGAGGCCTCCTCTTCCCTTGAATATTTATTTTTCAAACCCTGCAGTACAGGTGTAAAAGACTTTTCCTGCAATGAGTTTGTAGTACTCAGTTTTTTTAATTGAATGGGTTTCAATATAGAATTACAAGATTTTAATAGCAAAGGAGCAGAGTCTTGGGTCATGTAAGCAGAGATATACAGAGACTGGATTGGTCTTTATTGGCAGTAATACATGTAGTTAATTAAATGTGTTGCCACACATGTTCAGAGAGTGCAATGAACCTTTTTGTTTGTTTGTTTGTTTCATTTTACGCCTTTTTCAAACAGTATTTCAGTCATATAGGCGGGTAGTTTCCTAACCATCATTCCTGGAGAGTTACACCAGTACTAGACTACCAAGTTCCTCTGCGCTAAACTACCAAAGCATCTCCCGGGGATTGAACCCATGCCAGAGAGGTAACTGGATTAGAAGTCATCGACTCTAACCCCTCGACCACGGAGGCGGTTTGCAATGAAGCAATTATGTTGATGATGAAGCATTTGTCAG